TTTACACAATACTTTTCCACGCTTCTTCCCCACCCTCTTCACAATGCATAGAAAGCACACGTGCATTAGCTAATATAGGTTATGATTTCTGTGTGGTTTGGGGAGGATGGGAACAGGGCAGGAAAGGGAGCACATAAGCCTAAGCCCAACTCCTAATCTCATAGGGCACAGAGATGAGTTCAGAAATGCATCACATTTTAACTCTCTCAAACATGCCACCAGCTGAGATATTCCATTCTAGACGGTGCTCTTGGTAGAGCTGGAAGTGTTCCAAACCAAAGGTATTTCTCTGGTAGTAGACTTTAGATGCCAACTCTCTCTCTCTCTCTCTCTCTCTCAAGCTCTTTTAAAAACGAGGGATAAGGTTTCTAACACATTGTTAATTTCAATTTAATGAGCCAGCTCGTGTTTGAGAATTGGTATCAGTGTTGCCAAAAGTGTATGAAAATAAGCTTTGAAAGGGGGAAGGATGGAGCAATACATTAACTAGAGCCAAATTACTAATACAAAAGCATCTGGAATTATTTATCTAATTATCAAAGCGGCAATATTTTCAGAATTCTTTCAGCAATGAAACAGACAACTATTCATTTGCACTCCTCGGCTGAAAAGTGTGGAAAGTGTTGCTGTCCTCCCACACCCACCAATAAACTATAATAATTCACTTTCTGATAACAAATATCACAATGGCACTGATTCTCACTAATAACGGAGAGATGGTGAGATGTCTCCCAAAGAGGGATCATAGTGTCCTTGGTGTATACATGGCAGCTGGAGCCCATATGTAATTTGGTTGCAATGTAAACAGACCAGTGGTTATTGATGCCCATTGAAAAGTTGGAGGACTTCATGGGAAAGTTTATTAACATTTAAAATCCTCTATTGCTCCCTGCTACAACACTTGATTTTAAGGATCATAGTCATGGCGGCTTAGTACATGCCATTCATGCACAGAGACGGGTTCTGTGTGTGGATTGCCCTTTTGTCTACCTTGCACAGAAGAGTTTTCGGGGCGGGAGAAGAATGCTTCCAATAGTTGAGGGAGCTATGATTCAGAGATGTTTGTTTCCAGACATTTTGGGATCTCTATTGACTTCAGTGGGAGTTTCTAAACTTCTGTCACCTCGTCTGCAGATTTTATATACCATTCCATACCGTTGTCTCTCAGGGTGAGAAATGATATCGGAGTGAGTGTAGGATTCATTCCCCCCCTCCCACTGCTCTGTCTATTTTTGCTTCTTGTACAACAGCACACCAGCACACCTGCTGCACTGTCATGCCTTCAGACCCAACCAGTGCAAGGGGACTTACTTAGCATGCTTGTTTTTATCCATAGAGTGTTGCTTGTAGATAGGATCACAGCTTTTACTTTCATTGAATGATATTTTGATGGTTTACCAGTGGGTATGATTTCGGAAAACTTTTCATTCTTTCCTAGGATTTCTCCCCCCCCCCCCCCCAAGATAATATCACTAGCCCCTTCCCATGTCTGTGAAAGTCATAAGGTTCGGCAAAGCTCTAAATCATTTTGCCAGATACATTTAATAAGCAGCTATAATTATCAGAAAATGAAAAACATCCCTTTTACAGTGTGTTTCATTATTATTTTTTGAGTTGTGCTATTTTTGTAAGATAATTCCTGAGTGAATCAAGGTGGCAGTAAATAACAATGTGAGATTTCATTGAAGACTGCTAGCAGAACTATCTTCCCACTTTAATAAGCTGATTTGTTTATGGGCATTGGCCACGAAGGCTTTATACTAGAATGTAGGTAGAGAGAAGATGACTGACTAATGCATTTGCCATAATAAAATTACGGATTTGCATAAGGAAATTAGTACAGTGGTACCTCGGTTTAAATACGCTTCAGGTTACAGACTCCGCTAACCCAGAAATAGTGCTTCAGGTTAAGGACTTTGCTTCAGGATGAGAACAGAAATCGTGCTCCGGCAGCGTGGCAGCAGCAGGAGGCCCCATTAGCTAAAGTGGTGCCTCAGGTTAAGAACAGTTTCAGGTTAAGAATGGACCTCCGGAACGAATTAAGTGCTTAACCCGAGGTACCACTGTATATGGAATGATGTAGCATGCCTATCTAGCACATTAAAGAGGAACAGTTTGTATATAAAATAAGAAAACACATTTGCTCCTGCTGGTTAGCATTCTTGATACCGAATACCCAGGACCTGGACTGAACCATTTTTCAACCACGCACCAGCTTCATAGTTCAGCTATTGGCATATTCTCCTCCCCCGCCGCCCTGCGCCTCTGGCAATTTCTCATGCAGTGTTTTAATTGTTGTAACCTGCCCTGGGACCTTGGGGTGAAGGGCGAGTAATAAATTTTAATAAGTACAACAACAATAACATCATAATATTACTACTCAGGGGCAAGCCTAGGGTGATTTGTTACAGAGAATACCAGAATTTTTGGCCAACAAGTGTTCCCTGGCAAGCGGACTGGTATGGTACACATGTGGTTGCCACAATTATGCAATACACAGTTAAGTGCATGCTTACTGTATTGTATGTGTGTGCTCAGAAACATACATCAGGTGACCCTGCAGCTATTAAAACTAACATTTTTATTTATTTATTTTTGCTTCTGCAGCTTCCTTGAGTGTGTCAGGGCTGTTGCAGCCATTCAAAGCTGTGCCCTGACTGGCCTTGATGCAACAAGCACTGTCTGCAAATATAGTAACAGCTAGCCAGAAGGGATCACTAATTGCAGCAACGGAAAATGGGCTGTGCCTAAGGCATGAAACATGACCAGGACTCTGTACAGTTGTACCTTGGAAGTTGAACGGAATCTGTTCTTGAAGTCCACTTGACTTCCAAAGCATTCGAAAACCGGAGCATGGCTTCTGATTGGCTGCAGGAAGTTCCTGCAGCCAATCGGAAGCCCCATCGGATGTTTGTCTTCCAAAAATAGTTCGCAAACTGGAACAGTCACTTCTGGGTGAAGGCTGTTTGACTTCTAGGGTACGACTGTATCCTTTTTTTGTGGATATCCTGGGCCATATATTGCATGCTCCACACAAATGTTTCCCCAAGGACAGTTGTGTAGTGAAGATTTGAAATACCTGAAATGGCCGCTGGCTTCCAGTTGCATGGCACTTTATCGTGCATTCTTGCATAGTTGCTGTTCAGTAGGCACATGGAACCAATCACCCTTATCCACCTTTCAGAATGCATGCATTTTATTTTATTTATTTTATTATTTTATTTTAAAAGAGTTAATAAAGATATTCAGAAAGTAAGGAACCATTGTGGTGTTATGAAGCAGCTACAGGAGAAGAAAAGCTAGAGGTGAAAACAAATCATACTATATGAGAAAACCCCATGGCATCTGGTTGAGGCCGAGAGCCAGGCAAATGCTTTATTTATTTCATGGCCACATACTGCGCCCCCCGCCAGTAGTTAAGTCATGATTATTTGTTCCATCGAGGTCTCTTGGGCTGGAGTGACTCCCCAGGGGGCAGAGCTTCAGCAATGTCCTTCATTGGGAGGGCTGAGGAGATGGCAAAGTCATGGCTGCACAGAAGCAGCAGTGGGAGCACCAGATTGGCTTTGCTGGTGTGTCCGCCATGTCCTGACCTCACTGCCTCCTGTTCTTCCTGCTAAGCATCAACAGAAGGAGGCTGCTGCAGTAGCTCCACATGACCAGGAGAGCCATCCCTGGTCAAGATTAGTTTTTAAAAGGAGTATTGCATGTTTGAGATGTGACCTCAGACGCTGCTGTTTCTGGAATCACTATGCCATACATGTCACCCCTGTGTTCCAAATCTACCAATCTCCACACATCTGTTTGAGGCCCTGGTTAAATGGAGCAGCTCTTTAGCCCAAGGTGTAGTCACGGTTGTTCAGCCATGAACCCTCCAGTTCATGTCTAATTTGTAATTATGAAGATAAACTGTCAATCTGGAGTTGAATCAAAATGATCTATATGACTCGGGGCACACCAGTTAGAGTCAAACAGTTGGATGTTGGGATAAATGTAAGTGCTCTTCACACTGACGCTCCTCTTACTGCATAGTTTGTTAATTACCTTCTACCTTTAATGAGGGGGAGAGGTGGTGGAGGGAGCACACAAGTTCAGAACCCGCTTTTGATCTTGCCCTATATAGAATTCGATGGTGAAGCAATATCTGAACAGGTCCCAATTACTAGTTAAGGGATGCTGCTTTTAATCCTGGCACGCAGAATATTCACAACAAATGTTCAGTGTCGTGGATGAGTAACACATACAATAAATTTGTTGCAACTTGTTTTGGGGGAGCAGTAATAATCTGGGAATCACTTCTCTGCTGGGTTCCCAAGTATGTTTTGACTTCAGTAGAACACAATTCTATGCACATTTAGTCAGAAGTAAGTCCTGCTGAGTTCAGCTGGGCTGTGTTGATACCAAACTACTGCATTTGGTGACCAAATTGGCAAGGGATTTGTTCGCTTACTGTTCTGCAGAAGCCTTTTTGGTCTCCTAGTCTAGGCTGATATTACCAGAGCAGAGCCATAAGGCCTAAGTTGCTCTTTGTCACTTTTGATTGCACTAGGCAAGTCACTTCTTTTCACTGTACATCTTGTTATCCCATTTATCTTGCAGCAGTAACGATTTATTTCTCACATTTATTCCCCACCCTTTCTCTAAGGACCTGGCGGCAATTTTGGTCCTTAGAGAAAGGACCTTGAGGCAGGGCCAGCTGTTCCCATATGAATTTGCCTCAAATGTTAATACCCTCATCAGGCACCTAGCTCTTAGTAGCCCCACCTTCTGAGGTTAGGTGAACAGCTGCCAGGAGCAGGATCATTCCCCTTTTCTACACCCTATTTATAGAATTCCCTACCAACCTGACGGTCCCTTTGATGATGATAGTGTGCCAGCTAAAATGATTTTATTTGCCCAGGCTTTTAGTGGCAAATAATAACAATAGAATCATAGACTTGTAGAATTAGAAGAGACCACGAGGATCATCTAGTCCAACCCCCTGCAATGCAGGAATCTTTTGCCCAACGTGGAACTTGAACCCATGACCCTGAGTTTAAGAGCCTCATGCTCTACCAGCTGAGCTATCCCAGACTGAAAAATCAAGAATGTTACTGTGCTGCTGCTGTTGGTTTTATTGATGTATTTTTTGTTTGTTTTGATATATTTTATGTTTGCTTGTTTTTTCAAAACTATTTTGTTGTAAGCTATCTGGAGGACTCTGCTCAAAAGGCTGGGTAAACATTTTAAAATAAATAAATACACAGATTTCACTCCCATGTTATCCTTGCCACAGCCCTGTGAGACACGACTATGCCAAGATCACCAGTGAGATTCATGACCAAATAATATTTTGAACCCAGGTCATTCTGGTCCAATTATAGCGTCCTAGCTGCTATATAACACTTATTCTCCAGATATATCATATTACAAAAGCTATGAATGACAAATTACACCATGGAAGCAAATGCCAACCAATGGAATTAGTGTTCAATGCTGTGTCTAAAAGAGAGGCTTTTGCTGTGTGGGCTGAGGTGAACTGATGGTAGATTGTAACCACAAATGATATCTTTGACACATCTGGTCTGAAATACATTTAGGTTTTGCCTCCTCTCAGTTGAGTGCATTGTTTATTTATTTCCCTTGTATTGTGCGCTTTCCAACCAGCTCAGTAGACTACTTCCCTTTAACATTATGAATTCAGGAACTAAAATTTCTGTCCGAATTTCTGTCTACAGCCCCATTCATGTGTGCCACTTAGCACTTAAAGCTACATACAAGCAGGGCAAGTGATGACGAAGGTGCTAAACTTCATCCCACCCCTATGTAACTGTGCCCATCGCCACCAACAAGTTGGAAGGCAAAGTCCAAAGTGGGGAGCCTCATTTACTAGTGGAGGCTGTACCATGATTTAGATGCCCAATTTTGCAGGGCCCTGTGTGATGTGGGAAGGCTCAGCAAGCAGAGGAGTATCTCTGCTCCAGCTCATAGAAAGCGGCTGGCTTAGCAATGCAGAGTGTCTGTAGAGTTTACCATGCTTGGAGACGCCTGTGCTGCTTGTGTGTAGCCTTTGCATGCAAGCAGCACAGCTGAATGGGGCAGTTGAATGTGTGAACTGAATCCATGGAACAGAATTACATTTGAGGTGATAGGTAGGACCCCCCCCCCCAAGCACTGGAAATAATGCAGGGGAACAAGTTTTTGTTACTCAACGCCATCCAGCTGTAGGTCCTAAATTTGAATCAGTGTGGATTGAGTTACCCACTAAACCTTTCCATCAAGACCTTCTCTTCCTTAAACATACTTACCGTATTTTTTGCTCTATAAGACTCACTTTTTCCCTCCTAAAAAGTAAGGGGAAATGTGTGTGCGTCTTATGGAGCGAATGAAGGCTGTGCAGCTATCCCAGAAGCCAGAACAGCAAGAGGGATTGCTGCTTTCACTGCGCACCGATCCCTCTTGCTGTTCTGGCTTCTGAGATTCAGAATATTTTTTTTCTTGTTTTCCTCCTCCAAAAACTAGGTGTGTCTTGTGGTCTGGTGCGTCTTATAGATCGAAAAATACGGTAAATATAAGTGTCTTCAAGAAAAAGATAGGCATAAATTACAGAAACGCATCCACTACCTCTGAGCTGCACAGTCCCTAAAAGGCACCAGAACTTACTCAGCAGAAAGTTACTCTTTCGTGGCAGCCCTCCTTCCTTATCATGCTGAATTCGGCCTTGAACTACTTGCCTCCTGGCTGTCTATCTGTTTTAATAGACCTCCCTTGTCATTCATATGCCACCAGGAATCATGGGAATGCAATTTCCCGTGGGACAGGCAATAGCTCTGCTTTGCACATAGAGGGTCTCAGGTTGAATCGCCAGCATAAGCTCCTTCCCTTGGGATCTCTGCTCAAGGAATGTTTAGAGCTTTTCATTTTCCCACCCGCAGACTGGGATGTATCATCCCACACATTTCACTGCCTTAAAGTTTGATGAGCCTGGGGTGGCACCCGCTTAGGACTCCAGGTTAACCCTATGCAACCCAAATAGCAGACAGGTAAAAACAAGCGTTCTCATTTTATATACAAGCACTCCAGGACAGTAAAGTTCACTTCCTTCACAGTCTGTGATAAAAGTCATTGTTTGATGTTGTTCGCTTGCATGTTTGAAGTGGGCCTTCGATGTCTTGTTCTCCTTGCTTTCCAAATTTACATATCCATCGTTTCAGGGCATGCCCGTGTCCACCATGCATTTAAACATTATCTGAATATCTTTGATGTCCTCCATCTGGGCCATTCACATGAATGTAGCTGAACTGTGTATGAACAAATGGATCTTGTACCTCCAGTGCAGGCTTTACATTTTCAGACATATCTGCTTCCAGAGTAAGGAGCCCTCCAGTGCCTCTGGCTGTAAATGAAAGCTTTTAATAGGGTGGTTTGCTGCACACCCTGAGAGGAGCTCTCAGAGGTTTCCTGTTCTAACATCACTTATTAACATCATCTTGAGATGACTCATCTCTGCCTTTCAGTTCGTCTTGTTACTCCCACCTCTGGCACGAACTTCAAACGGCTTCAAAGGGAAAAAAAATATATAATCAGCATACCAGACTGCAATAGTGAAGGAGCATCTCCTAGCTATTTGCTTAATTTTTGCAGGTACAAACCTTTCCACATATGAACATGTGGGATAAGCAGCCATGTGGCTCCTCTCTTCCATGGTAATGACAGAGATGTGGGGCTTTTTTAAAACATCAGCAATAACAGTATGCCCATCGAACATTTTTTTTAAAAAACTTTTGAACAATCAATTATCTTTGCCTGGGGTAGGGGAGGAGGGAACCAAGCCTAGCAATTGGGCTCTAGGTAGATGCTTCAAATCTAAAAACAAAATTTCCCAATTTTAATAGAAAAATGATTTCCCATATATTATTGTATTTTGCTTAGTCACCTTTAGGTTGAATGCATTTATTCTTTTAATGGTTTCCCCTTTCAGTGTATTTATCCCCTGCCCACTTTCTAGCCTGTTTGAAAAGATTCCCTCCGTACATAGGGATGAGTCACTCAGTTCCTGTGACATTTTCTACCCCCTCCAATGGTTATGCTCAATTCTTTCTGTTCTCTTATCTCCCTGTATATACCATGCAGAGCCTTTAAAGTTCAAAAGTGTTATCTTGTTCTCTTAGTGGCAGGCTTATCTCGACATAAAGTTGGTTTCATTCATATTGTTCCCTCCTTTAAACTTAAGAACACTCATCCTGGGCTTTTTGATGTTCACTCTTGGTGCTTCACATTAAATCCCCATCTTTTTAATTCTGAACCTGGAACATTCCTATTTTCCACCCCACCCCAATACCAACAGAAGCAGCTAAGATATGAGGCAAAATTGCAGCTGCCAGACCAAATCTGCAATGGGTGTTTCACTTACAGTAGGTACGCTCGGCGCCTCCTTTTGGCCCAGACAGAACATCATTTTTAAGGATGGAAAGGCATGCTTTTAAAGCATTACATGGCAAGGATTTCAACTTCTGTATCTCTCTCTCTCTCTCTCTCTCTCTCCATAATTCACCATTTACACCATGACAAATAATAATGCCTGTTAGCTACCAAGTTATTTTCAAGGTTTAGGGACTGGGATAGCTAAAGGATTGCCTTCTGTTACTCAGACCTGCTAGGATGTTAAGATCAGTGGAGGAAGCTTTGTTATTAGGTAGCTTTTTACAATATTTTTCTTGCTGACAACATGGATGGGCCTTCTCTGTAGTGGCACCCACTCATTGAAACACTTTCTCTCCTGCTAGACAGGAGACTCTTAAAACACATTTCTTTTGCTGGGGCTTTCACCAACTAGTTCGTTGGCCCATTTTAGATATTATGTACATTCCTGACACTGGACAATATCTAACTAATGTGTCTTGCTAGCACAAGTGTTTACACTTGTATAACAGAACATCCTTCCTCTGCACGCCTTCTAAAGTTCCAGAGCAGATTTGGGGAGGACACAGTGGGAGGAGAGGGGGAAGCGCCATTGCACAAGTGTAAATCCTTGCACTGATGGGAAGCTTGAGTTGGATGCTGCCTGTTTATTGTTTGCTATTGATCTTCTTTAAGTCACTGTGTAGGGTTATATTTGCATCAGCAGTGGTAATCACTGATTAGGATTGACCTTATACTCAGAATTTGAAACCAGAGTTTGAAACGGATATGCAAACCCTGGTTATGAGTGAATCTGGTTATAAAGTTAAAGCAAACTATAGAATTAATGTGTGGGAGAAGGAAAGAAGAGGGGTATGGAGTATGCATGTCTGCATCATGTTTCTGATCTCAGTTGTGACTGCATTGTAACCTGATAGCTCTATGCCACCAGAATGCTGTTGGTCAATGGGAATTTTCATGCTGGCCAGATGTAAAAGTAGAGAGGGTTCCTGCCTCTTTATAGAGTTATGTAGAAGAGGTAATTTCAGCAAGTCATGCGAAGCCCTGTGTAGGAGTCCTTCATGGCCACCATAGTTGTGTTGCCAGTTTTTAATCTCTCCTTATCCTTTGAGGCTTGTGTGGTACTAGGGAAGTACTTATACTTTGCGTACATTTATGTGAATTGGTGCTCAACATATTTTAAAAATGCACACACAAGATCTTGTTAGAAGATAAATTCCAGATTCTGCACAGGCCTTCTTCAAAAGTGCCAAAAGTGATTGGTCATAACAGCAAGGCTCCTTTTCGAAAACAGTGATAACATAACTTACATCTGAATCTATGACTCATTCCATAACTGCCTCAGAAGTTACAAGGCCAACTTTTGCCTCACCAAATGTAATTAAGAGGGCTGGGGAAAACACACAAATCTTGGCTTTCCCCACTTCCACCATAAGACTTGAGGTAGACCAGGAATGGGTAGCATCCTGCCCTCTGTATGCTGTTGGACTACAACTCCAATTGTCTCTTGACTATTAGCCATGCCAGCTGGGGTTGGTGGGAGTTGAAGTCCTCCAACACATAGAGGGCCACAAGACCCCCATTTCTGAGCTAGACAACATTTTAATAAGTGGGAGAACAAATTTGCAGTATCCTGCCTAAAAAGCGATACCATGAAAGAATTGCACTCTCATA